TGTTTTTGGGGTTGCTAACTCAGGGGTAGATGATAAATTGATGATGATGATATATAACACTAAAACATGATTAATTACAGTAATACTATTACTACTAGCTATAATACTTGCATATCTTATAATACAACAATATCAACAAAGTGTGATATATTACTAACATATATTTATTGATTTGTTTCTTCTGCTTGGACAATCGTATTAGCCTATTCAGACAAGAACTTTTCCCCCTTGATTGTAACACTGTTTACTTTCAATAAAGTGTTACGTAAAGTAATTGTCCACAGTCACCATATGCACGTGGGTCTCACGTGGTGCATCACCGGATGAGTGTGTTTCTGAGAGAGACGGGATTTCATATAACATTAACTCAACCATTCGTAGTAATAACGTCGTCTCGAGTTGCAACAACATACGAGATTTTAAATCTCCTTTTCGCTTTGCATACATGAGACTTAAAAATCAAACAATAACAATAATGAAATTCAAATAAACTTTCTCTTCGGTTGCAAATTGGTGTAGTTTTTTTTGGTAGGCAGATTTGTGTGTTTTTAAATTGAACCTCCAAACTTAAGAAATAAAAGTAATTCGGTCCAAACCTAAGAAATAAAAGTTTGTCTTTAATAAAAAAAAAAAAGTAAAAATGTAGATTTACATAATTTCCTCCATTGCCACTGATTTTGGTTCATGACGCAGGCCCATGGTGCGAAACATAAACAAATGAAACCGAAACTTGGCACGTTTTTTATCAATCTGCGCGGCTTTATTTATAATCCTTAATATTCAAAATAGTAATAGTTTGGGAAATACGTTGTGTTGCGAGCAGCACCCAAAATTGACATTGTATTGCAAGTAGCACCCAAAATTAAATCATTATTGGTTTTCATAAATAATGTTACAGAAAATGAGAATAGTGGGTGCTTTTTCGGTTAACTAAGTAACATGTGTTGTTAGTTGTTACACTTGTTTTGTTCGAAGCTAAACAAAACATTGCCCCGTACTATGAATGTTCTCATTTCATTTAGTGACATTGTTATTAATTACTTATTATCACATTTGTGATTGGTGAATAATAAGTATCATCCCGTATTCGCCTCATTGGCAATCATCTGAAAGCGAAGTAGCAGCTAAATACGACCAGAAATATTCATAATTATGTTTGATTAGAGCTCAAATGTGTCTTAATGATCATAATTATTTGTGAAACTGATTTATACACTGGAATATTGGTTGATGACTGTCGACGGAAATGATGGGAGACAAAAAGACAAGACACCGCCTACCAAAGAAGTGTGAGGGAATATCCCATATGGGTCCAATGATTACGTCATCATGTAATAGAACCTGAACGAGAAAACGCCTGTCTATCTTTTGTTTCTGTGTGCATGATTGTACTGTTAAACTACCACGAGGACTTGCAATTATTTCAAGATGTTACAGGACTATTTAGGTTTACTCCAGCTGCTTTAGTATTGATTGATCTATTTACCAAGATATAATAACAGCTAGACATTGTTGCACAACAACATAACCAAAAAAAAAAAAACTCTTATGATATCGTTTTTGTTTTGTGATTAGCTTTGTGAGTTTTTTTTGGCATCCACACAAAAGCAACATGCAAACTATATAAACTTCATGCATTCATGATACAAAGATGCAATGCTTCATGCTTGAGGGGATAGTATTCTTCAGAGATGGACTAATGGTGCTAATAGGCAATTCTTGAGATATCGCCATATCGGGCGCATCACCGGTCAAGCAGCAATATTATATAATTATGACTGTATTGGGTTACTGATAGCTTCATCATTATCACACAAAAATTACGGAAATGGTAGTTTAATTTGCAAGTCTAACAGATTCGAGCAGTATATTGTTATCTTACTGTAAAATATGAAGATTTTTTAGTGAAGAAAATACGATTATATATTCTTGCAATTAATCAGCTAATAATTAATCGATAACAACAATATATATTGTCTATTGAACCTGCTATATATATATATTAACTAGCGTACCTTGTCGCTAAAATAAAAATATCCCGCAGGACGAATAAGTAAAATGTTCGCTTTACATAGATTCCACTGTCTATCATTATTAGTAAAACGACCTATACTAATTATATCAAATTATATTAAATATGGTTATTTTCCCATGCATGTCAGCAATAATAGCATAATTTTTTATACTTCCTCTTTTCGTGTGTTTGTGCAAGTGTCTGTGTATCTCAGATAAATTATTAACGAGAAGCAACAGAGAAAGCAGAACAGGCAATATTGGAGGAGTCTCGTGAATGCGAATATGCTCAACCTAGTTGTTTATTACTAATAAGTACTTTGATGGATACTTAAGCGGCGAGTGTGATCGACTTTCCAAGCTGCTTTAATTAATCGCACATTGTTTTGTGGTGGCTGCGAAATGCTGCTGAAGTTTAGTTTATTGACTGTATAGTCAGTACAAGCGCTTGACTAAATATATACATGCATGCATTTAGACAGCGCGCTTCAAACAACATCATTACAAAATTACAACAATTTTTCTCATTTAGTTCTTTAATCTTTATGATGATAAGTAAGCTCTTTTTGGTTGAAGTAATAACAAGTAAGTTAGAAGGAATATATAGAGCGAAATTTGGGTGGTTCATATAGGATTTAATGTACTTCTGATGATTTGAAAGTAACAAATTTTCACTAGATGTTCAATTTCCGTTTCTATAAATGGAATCGTGTAAAAGTATGATGGAAACTGGTGATTCGGATTTCAAAACAATATTATCTGGTAGATCAAGCAAGGATAATTGCAACGTTAGTTTGTTTTTAGTATTTTTGAAAACTAAAATTATAAACTCTAAATAAATAAGGAGGAAAACGTCCACATGAGTGAAGGGAGGGATTACTGACGCTGAGAGCCGCCCAAATGTTTCTGGAAGCTGAGGAGGAAAGAGCATCGTGTTGCCTTGTTGAATGCAGTTTCTTTTCTTTCAAATTTTGTTGTTCTTCTCGATTTCTTATTCACACACAAAATTTCAGATTTTGGTAAACCCAACCGTACTTTTAAATCAATACTGTACAACCATATATCAATCTGGTATGATCTAATCTTTAATATTGTAACGTGGTTTTTAAAAGTTTATGTTAAGTGTTGTTGATGCGTCATTATTTAAATTCAAATACACTTTAATAATTATAAAAAACAAAAAAGATAAAAGTGACAGTGATAAGAAAAATTAGATAGTATAGTAGTATAAGTCAACTTCAACACAAACTATATAACGTATAATGTGGAGAAGTGTATGTATACATCTATTTGCGTATAATGATGTATATGTTTTGTGTACGTACGTACGTATGTTTTTTAAGTATACAAAATCGTAGGCGCACGTGTCTTCCTTCTTTTGGTTGATTATATATTTAAGAAATAAAACTAATTTCATAATTGCCATTTGCTAGAATTGTGTGCTAACCATCCAATACCAAATTGTTTTTTTCTTGACAAGTTGACAATTGACATGCATGTTATTTTAGATTACTACCAAAACTGTCTACGCTCAGCCAGTTAGCTCTCGTGCATTGGTTAATCGGTAGTTTAAAAACTCGTGAAACTTGTCCATTTGGATTTTATCGGAATTTTTATGATGCATGCATCATGTATTCTCGCTCGTTCAGTGTATATAGAATCATTAAGGCTTCGACCATCCTAAAATTTATATGTTTAATATTTATGATTCCTAATCCTTATATCATATAGAACCATGAAAGCCAATATATTTCGATTTGTTTGACAATCTCCTAGTTGTTGAAAGCTTAAGTTCTACTGAAATATATATCTTCATAGCTCAATAGATATGTACATTGACATGTTAATTGACGAGAAATCACCAAATTTTAACAATTTTATTTCCTACAACACCCGTTTCGTTAACTAGTCTCGACATGAACGAGAGAAAAGAACTTCACATTCTACTGTCTTCGTGTACAAAAAACAAAGAGGTGAAGTAGAAAACCCTAGAATCAACACATATTGGTCCACAAGGACCACAACAAATGAAAGCGATTAAACAAAAAAAATGAAAAATTAAATGTAGGAATTTATGGGGAAATTATCAGGTTCTACATTTTGATCACCAATACTTTTTTAGTAATTGAAATTTACATCTTTGTAGATACAGAAACTGAATCAATTGAGTATGAATTTTGACCCAAAAAAACAAAAAACCAGTTGAATATAATTATGATATTTCCCCCAATTATCATATGCATTGTATTATGTATGCGATGCAAGTTGGGTAAGTAGGCCGTCAACGAGAAAGTTAAATAACTTTCCAACAATTGCCTATCCTAAGACCAAAGACTAGAGGGATAGAATAGTAAATCCATATCGTAAACCGGTAGACTAAGGACACGTGTCGTCATCGCTTTCAAATAATTAACAATCCCGAAGCCGCCACAGCAAAATCTCCCTACACCTGTCAGTCAGTGAACGGAGACTAAACGGTGTAAATACCACTACCAATAAGGGTATTTACGGCATTTCAGAGTCGTTAAGATCTATATAAACACTACTCTTTTTCTGCTCTCATCCGGTGGAAAAAAGTGGAGATAATCTCTAAAACGAGTTTCGTGTTTTACTCAGTTTTTGCTTCTTTCTCTCTCTCTCTCTTTTCTCTCTTCTACTGATTTTGTGAAAAAGGAGGAAAAAAAACCCTTTCAAGGGAATGCAGAGAGATGGTCGGAGTATCGCCGGTGAAGACTAAGCTGTGCGATCGGTTTAACCGATCTGTTGGCGGCAGGAATTGCCACCGGAAACACGTCGAGGACGGGTGATCCATTTCAAAACTCTCGAATTCTCCGAAGATCGAAACCGTAAATCTTTTTCTTTTTTGCTTTTTCAAAATTTTCAAATCATCGTTGTAAAATCGTTTAAAAAAAAAACAATGGTCGGAGCAAAACCGGTGAAAATGGTAGAGAATGGATCTGACGGTGGGGTAAGTACGGGCCTGCTTCATGGCCGTTACGAGCTAGGTCGGCTTCTAGGTCACGGAACATTCGCGAAGGTGTACCACGCGCGCAACGTGGCGACGGGGAAAAGCGTGGCGATGAAAGTGGTTGGGAAAGAGAAAGTGGTCAAGGTTGGGATGGTGGATCAGATCAAGCGAGAGATCTCAGTGATGAGGATGGTGAAGCATCCAAACATCGTCGAGCTTCACGAGGTCATGGCGAGCAAATCCAAGATCTATTTCGCGATGGAGCTCGTACGAGGCGGCGAGTTATTCGCCAAGGTGGCTAAAGGAAGGCTGCGCGAGGACGTGGCGCGCGTGTACTTCCAGCAATTGATCTCAGCCGTCGATTTCTGCCATAGCCGTGGAGTCTATCACCGGGATCTGAAACCGGAGAATCTGTTGCTAGACGAAGAAGGGAACCTTAAGGTGACCGATTTCGGTCTCTCTGCTTTCACTGAGCATCTGAAGCAAGACGGGCTTCTCCACACGACTTGTGGAACTCCGGCGTATGTTGCGCCGGAGGTTATACTGAAGAAAGGATACGACGGAGCGAAGGCGGATCTGTGGTCTTGCGGCGTTATCCTGTTCGTGCTGCTCGCTGGGTATCTGCCGTTTCAAGATGATAATCTCGTGAACATGTATAGGAAGATCTACAGAGGAGATTTCAAGTGTCCTGGATGGCTTTCTTCTGATGCGAGAAGGCTCGTGACGAAGCTTCTGGATCCGAACCCGAATACTCGAATCACCATCGACAAGGTCATGGATTCGACATGGTTCAAGAAACCGGCGACGAGATCCAAAAACGAACCAATCGCCACAACTAAAGAAGCTGAGGCGGAGGATCTTGATATCTCCGTGCACAAGTCCAAGGAAGAGACGGAGACGCTAAACGCGTTTCATATAATCGCGTTATCTGAAGGGTTTGATCTTTCGCCGTTGTTTGAGGAGAAGAAGAAAGAGGAGAAGAGGGAGATGAGATTCGCGACTTCTCGGCCGGCGAGCAGCGTGATTTCGAGCTTGGAGGAAGCGGCGAAAGTTGGGAATAAGTTCGACGTGAGGAAGAGCGAGAGCAGAGTGAGAATCGAAGGGAAGCAGAACGGCCGGAAAGGGAAATTAGCGGTGGAGGCGGAGATATTCGCGGTGGCTCCGTCGTTCGTCGTTGTGGAGGTGAAGAAAGATCACGGAGACACTCTGGAGTACAACAATTTCTGCAGCACTGCTCTCAGACCAGCTCTCAAGGATATTTTCTGGACTTCTACACCTGCTTAATTTGTATCATCAATTTGAATTCTTGTGTGTTTTTAAATTTCAGTCTGTAATATATTGTTGGGATTCTAGATTCGATTCGTGATTCTTGTTCTTGAATTTTAATGTTCGTGGAACAAAAAAAAGTTTGAGTCTTTTAATGTATTTTGGGTCCGTTGCGATTCGTTGTTGCGTCACGAAGCAGAGAGTGTTTGTGTGGTGTGTGTTCGTGTGGTTCAGAATGGTGTCCTAAAGATTCCATATCAATAAATAATAGTATTTATGACTCTTTAAGAATGTCCAAGAGTCAATTTTTATGCATTCTCAATGTCTTTTATTTTTTTCTTTTGCACGTCTCTTACATTGGAGTGATTAGGACATCATCATCTTTTGTAACTCTCTTTTCTCTCTTGGGGTTATGTAGATATGTTTTTATCCTTCTTTTTGGGGTCCAATTTAGGTAGTGTCTTATTGATTCATATGCTCTTAAGATTCATGTGTGTGTCGACATACTTCTTTAACTTTATTGAGTCTTCTCCCTAAGTAGTAACTAGTAAGTACACATTAGAACTATCATTAATTCATAACATTTAGTAAGATTAAGTAATAAAATTATTTAATTCAGTCTACTAACTTTAGCCGTTGGATTAGTTGAAACGTGGTGTATATCCAATGTATGATTAGTGATAAGATTTGATCTTTTCCATCAAATGTGATTGGGGATAAGTATTACTTATTTGAAGATAAAAAAAAAGAAAAATAGTGGAGTAGAAAGGAAAGATGGCTACCGATAATATGAAAAGAAAAAGGAAGATGAGGTGGGCAACAAAACAAAAGTGGAAGTTGCGTGATTAGGATGGATGTCTCATGAACCATATTATTGTTATTATCTGTTTTACATTTTTATCGATAAAATTTCATTTATCATATTTGACATGTGATTCAATTACGGAGATGCAAAATAAACCATGATTTATTACTTCAAAGCAACGTTAGTCACAAGATCAAATTTTTTTAAACGAATAACCCTCCTGTGTGCCTCGGTATTTTAAGTGGTGAAGATTTTCATATGCCTTTAGACTAGTGATCGAATTTTACTTGTTACGAGTTTTTATTATCGACAGTTTTCATTTTTTTTTTTTTTTGAACTTTTTAATCGATAGTTTTCTTGGTCATTGTAAAAATGTTAAATGATACAAAGACCACGTATAAAAGTATGAGTGTTACCTGTCTATAATCAACATAGGAAAAGTCATGTGGACACAATGTCCTATCGAGGTTTTCTAGTGACTTTCAATCGTTGTTTTAAGTTGATTGATAACTAATTTGTAACTGATTAATAGATTTTAGAGTTGTGTTTATGGCGAGGTTCAGTTGTGGTTCGCCTACTTTCTTATTCCTATAGAAACTCTGCTAATTTTCTACAGCTTTACTATACAAATCTGTTTGGAGTCACAATGAAGACTGAAATAGTAATAATTTTATTAGAACAATCTTTTTGGCATTTATCAGATTATAAAATTAAACAACTGATAATTGAACCGCATTGATGCATCATTCTTCGCTGTATACAATCATCGAGGTTTCTCACGTATTCATAAATTGCTAGTTGGATTTAGAATGTTTCAACATAAATAAAATGATATATTTGCTTTTGATATTTAAGAGAGAAATCAAATGTCATAAAGTCGAAGAGGGTGAGATTAATCGATTGGAATGTACATCCGGCCACATGGGTTTTAATGATATGTTTTATACTTTTAGCTATTTAAAATAAGGTGAGACATGATCACGAAGATATTGGCTTTGGTTCTGTCCACAGAACTCGAAAAGCTACGACATGCATGTGACTCCCGTTGATCTTTGTCCATGTGGTTTCTTATCCGATCTTCTTGGAGGAATTGGGATCATCTATATTGTTTGAATAATGACACCAAAATGGATGGTGCAGAACAAATGAATGATACGGAATGATCGAAATAGATATAGTTAGTGTAGACTTATCAAATATAACTATTTTCGTCTTATGCAATTCATACACACACTTTCGGGGTTGAATCTAGATCCTACTATACGATGGCAATATTAACACAACCATTAAAGTACAGTTTCCGATCTCTTGACTAATCTTTTCTAGCAGTTCAAATGGTTATGTGATTGCGCTTCGATGTAACACTTCCGCAACTTGCCAAATTATCAAATTTCCATATATATATTTGGAAATACTATAAGGAAAATAATAGAGAGGTGTGGTTAGTATAGCTCTTTAGTTTTTTTTTTTTTTCAAGTTACATATTAGTTGGACTATGCTATGTTAAACATATAATTTAATTAAGTGAAGCAATTCACTAAAAACAAGAATGGTTTATGGACATATGATAACTCCAAAAGGTTACATGTACTTTACCTTTCTTCTAAAATGGGTTAACAAGCATACCCACAAAGCATAGAGCTTCTTTATTTCGATAAGATTTGTTCATATCTTACTTTCTTTAGTAGTATTAATTATCAAATACCAAAAAGTTATAAAGAAAAAATGGAAATGGTATACAGCTTATAAAGTGTTTTTTTCACAATATTTAGTTTTTATATGAGTGCTTTTCCGTATTGAGCTTTCAACATAGAGAGTATAAACTAAATCATTTTCTACCGGTCCTGCCTATGTAAAAGGTTCAAAAACGACATTTAATCTTCATTAGTGGAAGTAATATTTGTTAATGCTTATTTATTATGTGGTATAGAGCAAAAACTTTAATTAATTCGTTTGGTGGTTGATATTTATGAGCATACAAACATGGTTTTTTTATTAATTTTACTTAATAAGTACTTGTAATAATCGAATACTAGTTTGGTAAGGATTAGGGACCATGAGATCAACGTCCAACCAATGGTTGTATTTATTTAATTTGCCAAAGATAATAAAAAAATTACAGCTTCAAATGTTGGATTCTAATCTTGACTAAAATGTATTTTCCTCTTCCTTAAATTAGCCGGCGGAGTAAACCGATGTTAAGGAGACCATTGTGTGGAAATTATGATTGTTGGACTTAGACAGGGATCTGTAGTAGGGAGTAGTAAGCCCGACATATTTGGGCCTCAAGAAGATGTGGTGACAATATCATTTTGTGAGCCCAAATATTGGGATATACTCGAAGAGAGATCACCACCGAGCAACAAGGCCACGCAACTCCAAAACTCTTACCCGATTTCAAATTTTATGTCAGACGTTTCATTTTATAATGTTGTAGAGAACAATAAATCATAAATGAAAAAAAAAAAACAGTTTTACGTTTGAAAATCAAAACAGTTACTTTTTTGTCGACACGAGAAACACCAGAACAGTAGAAACAAGCCTGTTATTATGAGACACAAGTGATACAGTTAACTGAGTCCACAAAAATATTTCTACTCTCGCATTAGAAATTATATATATAGAAAGAGTTAGACATAGGAAGGGAGAAGTGGTACAATATGTTTGTGAAAGAAAAAAAGGGAAATAAAAAACGTGGACAAATGAGGTGTAGATAAGTGTTGTCTAAACTCTAAAGCTATGAAAACTAAAGTGAGATAGCTTTTGAGTTTTCATAGGTTTTAGAACTCGAGATGTCCCTAACTAGTTTTCTTCTTTCCCATCATCATCATTCTTCATTTTTCTCCAATTTGTGTTCCCTTTTTTGTTTTATTTATTTAATTTTATTTTCATCCCATCATATATATGTGTAGAACGCCGAGTTTTTAGTTTCTTAAGTGAAGACAAATTTTATCACGTGCGAAAGAATCCAAGGAGTACTTACTTGTGTTATTGATTCACTACTGCATAATTTATATAAGCATCCCTAATCTAGTAGTTAGTAAACGAGATTAATGTTTTTACCAATGATTTGCTAAAGATCGTGATTTTCGTACCTTGATCTTGATATTTTCTTTTTTGTTGGATTGTTCTCTTTTACAGTAGCAAATTATTGAGAAGAATTGTTTGCATTAATTATATGAAAAATACTTGATCTGATTTTCCGCCGAATTCTTATACAATATATATATATATATATATATCATCACTCATTCTATATGTTTTTAACTTTGAACTTCAAACTTTTTTGTTTTCTTCGTACTCTTTTGTAATGTATTTCCCTGTTTGTCTTTGTGAGTAAATACACTCTTCAAAATAATTTGTTGTTCTCTTTGCATCAGTCTCTTCTCAAAGTACACTTCATATATATAATCCTAGATGATTCCTCCTCTCTTTTTTTTACATGAACTTTCTATTCCCGTTTCGGACTGTATTATATTTATATATAAGTAACACACAGATTATTTGTAATTTTTTTTATTAAAGTGTTTACTATTTTCGATTCTACTTAGTATATTTTATATATTTAATCGGTAAAATTAATGATATATTTGGTTACAAGATCAAAACCATCTGAAACCAAAATTATAACATAGTCCAACTGAATTAGATGTAGTATATTCGGCTTTCTTTGAAAAATGATCACTTATCAATTTGGCTCAATGAGACTAAAATAAGAGATATTGAGAAAGCGAAATCAAAAGAAAACACGTAGTTGGTGAACATAATAAAAGCCTTCAAATATTGACAAAAGTACACATAAACACCAAACCGAAAGCACAAAAAAGGAAGAGTCTCCTCCAATGGTGGCAATTCAATCTTCTTTAGTCTCCAAATTCAAGCTTCTCAAGACGGTTTTTTGGGATATCATTATATATATATAGTTTGTTTATTTTGTCACTAACTCAGTGTATATTTGTATTATATTAGACAAATAAACCTAACAAATGGTACGAAGTTACAAACCATCTCACGAGGAGCATACACAAACCTATATAGGACTAGTCACGATTCTCCAAACTCATTTTGATACTGTGAATACGAATTCAAAAAACCAAAGCCAAATCATTGGAGAGTTTTTTAAAACATAAACCCAATTATTAAAATTAAAATATACTATAAAATATTTTTTAAAGCCGTAAGCTCAAATTTGTCTTATTTGGGCTTAAAATGACACTGTCTAAATTCTAAACATCAAAGCTATTCTGTACTTATAATATTTAGTTAGTTTGATTACCACATAGACCAAAAATAATAACACGTGATTTAATGAAATTTCTGTAGTGTTAAAAATTTAATTGTCTTAAATTCTTCAGTCTTTTGCTTGATTAGTGATTCTTAAGCAAAATAATACAGTATATTGTATGCAGTATACAGTATATTCTTGAGCATAATTTAATTCTTATATTGTTTTATTGCTAAAATGCCTCCTAAACAAAAAAAAAAAAAGAAAAAATCATAGATAATTAATGATATTTCTCTTTTGTTAAAAAATCTAAATGTTTAAAATTCTCCGGTTTTTTTGCTTGATTAGTGTGATTCTTGAGCAGACTTCAGAGTAATATTTTCCTTCTATTTTAGTTTTCTGCTAAAAGCCACTACCGGTCGTACCGATTGCTATGGGCTAGGACCGTAGGAGATGATGTAAAAGATTATTTTTTAACTTTTTTTTTGTTTCGGATGAAAAGTAGTATATACTTATTCATTTATTTATTTGGATCCATATGGCTTACGAAGCTTGCATAGTTAACCACAAGTCGTGCAGTGTACTATGTACGAGTGTGTACCTGGCTCATTATAGGCAG